AAAATGAGTTTGACACCCCTGACCTAAGAGGTTCCGCTGCAGGTGCCTGAGTTGAATAACAGTGTTCATTTAGAAGCTGTCGCAGGATGACGTTACACCTTGCTAAGTTGACCTGAACACGTATTATCAATCGAATAAATCCCCCACGAGAAAAAACAAACAAAAAAAAAAAACCCTTCTCCCAATCGTTTCTTGACTCTTCAAAACGTCGCCATCTGTTTCTGCTCGTACCCGAGCGGTGTAAATCAATGTTGTGCGCTGCGCTTGGTATTGCAACAACATCCTGTCTCCTCTGAGAAGTATTTGTTTTGTGAAGAGCCCCTCTTGGAGATGTACTGCTCGATACATCCTGAGCGTACTCGCGGGTCGGATCCACATTGTTTGATAGCCCGGAGAACGTGTGCGGCGTCTAATGAGGGGATTCTTCATTGGCAGGCGTAATGGAGGCGATACGAGGCGCTCCGGAGGTGTAAATGGCTCAGTTGCCGCGTTTCAGGCTGGACCTGACTAATGACAGGCATAAAGACTGAAGAGACCTCACCTCGACGACATCAATTAACAAACTACTGCCCCCCCCACCGCCCCCACCCCGCCCCATATCGCTCCTTTTGACCCGCCGTCACCTGTCGGCTTTGTAAACCGATGACTCGGTCACACCTGATCGCCCCAAAGTCACTCAGCCGGACCGTGACTTTACGCCCCCCCCACCCAACAACCGGCCGCGCGTGTTTGTCTTTCCTTTCATTCCTCGTTTGTCGATGCTAAGGCCGCTGACGGACGCCTCATCAATCACGATCCATTTATGCCGCTGCGATTTGGGACAGTGTGGCCCGAGGGCGAGGACCTGTGCGACCTACTTCTCACCACCTGTTAAAACCTTGAGAAAGAAAAGCACTGATGGATGAAAGATTGCACATCGGAATACTTTCCCCATTCACCCTATTGTGGGTTCTGGAACTGTTGTGAGGGACACAACTTCAGTATACAAAGTGCCCAGCTCCACCCTTATAATAGCCCGGCCGAGGGCGAGCTCGCATTGGCTATTTATACAGAGCGATGACAGACCTTGTCACAATCAGAATGCTTGAGTCTTCCTTTTGTGGTGTTTTGGGTGGTGGGGGGGGACAATGGATGAAAGATGGGCACAAGAGTGGACCAAGAGAGGAGCTTGGGATACTTAAAAGCACGAGGAAGGGATGATTATTTGGCATTTGGTCTTGAGCTAATGCCTCGTGTCCACTTGACTCACTTTTGAGGCATGTCAGTTCCTGCTACGGTAAACCGTGAAATTTTTGAAGGATAGGAACTGAGCCCTGCTACCAATAGGAACAAAACAGATGAAACAGACGATCATATGTCCTACCGGGTTGCCATGGGGCGACAAGAGTAACTCACCAACATCTAGCTTTCAAGCTAACGGGCTTGGGCCTGATAACTACTACTACTACTACTAATAATAATAATAATAATAATCATCATTATCATGATCATCATCATCATTACGCCAGATGACAAATGAAGGCATTCAAGTTTTACGTAGCACAATGCTCTGCAAAGACAAAATACTTCAAGCCTTGAACGCTATAGCTAAAGAATTCAGGACTACGCAGTTCTTTCTTTCACCTTTTCAGCAAATTCTGTCAAACGTGTAAAATGTACTTTAAAACGGACGTATTTTCCACACTGTAAGGCGCTTCAGTGTATAAGGCACACCTTCACTGAATGGCCTGTTTTAACACTGCTGTCATAGATAGGGCTCACCACATTATAAGGCGCATAGAATAGAAGATACAATAGTGGCTCCGGTTGCGTTATGCATCCACTGGACGGAGCTACACTAAAGGGAATATAATACAATAAAGCTTTATTTATATATGGCACTGGCTGCAGTTGCATTATGCATCCACTAGATGGAGCTACACTAAATGGAATACAATACAATACAGCTTTATTTATATAGAGCCTTCACAACTGCTGAAGTTGTAAGAAAGCTTTTGAGAAAATTGAATGCTTTTAGGTGCGCTTTGTAGTGCTGAAAATAGAGTAATCTATTTATTTCACTCTATGGGATCTTTAAGGAGAGAATGTTAGCGCTAGCAAAAGAGGAGAAGCAATCGGGCTGGTCTGGTGATACGATGCCTGTGGCAATATTTTTGATATCACCAAAATAAACATGCGGAGACATATTTTAAAGTGGGTCACTCTGGGCAGGGCGATGAGAGCTAGAGAAAATTTGCAGCGATTTTTTTTAAACCTTGCGGTTTAGCAATTGCTCTAAGGCTCGAGAGTCTTCATTTAAACAACCAAAAACCTTTTTGGAATGCGGAAGGGAGCGAGACCGGACTGGTCGCCATTCATCATAAGGGATAGACAAGCATTCACACATCTGGAATACTCGAAGGTTTCCATGAACCTCACGTGCATGTTTTGGGAGGAGTGGGAGGAAGTCAGATCTGAGCGGTCGCCAGTCAATGGCGGGGCGCATACAGACACCCATTAACACATATGGAAACTTCGAGACTTCAATGTGCTTCTGGAATGTGGAGAGAAACCGCGGCATCTGGAGAAAAGCCGTACATGGGGAGAACATGCAAAAACTCCACGCATCAAGGCCGAACACTGAACCTCGGAGCTGTGAAGCAATCATGCTCGCAAATAGTTTCACCGTGCTGCTGCCCTGACTCTTCCAAAATGACCTCGGGACTAAATAGCCAGCGAGAGAGCAACCCACCTTGGAGGGAGCCTTTGGAGACACTTTTCGTACAGCTGTATTTTCAAACTACCGTATTTTCCGCACTATAAGGAGTATAAGGCGCACCTTCAATGAATGGTCTATTTTAAAACTGTTTTCAAATATAGGGCGCATCGCATTTTCAGGCGCATAGAAAAGAAGCAATAGTGGCTGCGGTGGGGTTATGCATCCACTAGATGGAGCTACGCTAAAGGGAATTCAATACAATACAATACAATACAGATTTATTTATTTCGACTTTTCACAACCAGCACTTGAGAGCACATTTAAAATGCTACGTCCAAGAAATTTGAATATTGATCCATATATAAGGCACATAAAATTAAAAGGCACACTGTCGGCGTTTGAGAAAATTGAATGATTTTAGGTGTGCCTTATCGTGCGGAAAATACGATAATTTAAAATAAGGCCTGAATTTTAAAAAAATGCATTTTCTTTTTGGTTTTAGTTCTATAAATTAAACAACAAGGTTTTTTTTCCAATTTTAGTTGGAGTGATTTTTTTTTAGTTTGCATGAAATGTAATAATAACCTTGTTTTGAAATGAAGAGTTGTCGGTCCAATGATGACACACAACCGCTTAAAAAAGTGATATTTCCAACCAAGTGCTGATTTTTAAACCCTCGGGGGAAAGAAGGCCTCATATGACAGTGAAAAAGAGGGATTCAAAGCAGACATGAAGAGAGGGAACCAAAGGGGGGCTGGAGAGTTGCTGTATGTATTTATTTTGAGTTTTCACAACCGTAACAAAGCAATTGAGAGCACATTTAAAATACTACGTCCAAGAAATTAGAATATTGATCCATATATAAGGCACATAAAATTAAAAGGCACACTGTCGGCGTTTGAGAAAATTGAATGATTTTAGGTGTGCCTTATCGTGCGGAAAATACGATAATTTAAAATAAGGCCTGAATTTTAAAAAAATGCATTTTCTTTTTGGTTTTAGTTCTATAAATTAAACAACAAGGTTTTTTTTCCAATTTTAGTTGGAGTGATTTTTTTTTAGTTTGCATGAAATGTAATAATAACCTTGTTTTGAAATGAAGAGTTGTCGGTCCAATGATGACACACAACCGCTTAAAAAAGTGATATTTCCAACCAAGTGCTGATTTTTAAACCCTCGGGGGAAAGAAGGCCTCATATGACAGTGAAAAAGAGGGATTCAAAGCAGACATGAAGAGAGGGAACCAAAGGGGGGCTGGAGAGTTGCTGTTGTGAAAGATTCTGTTTAATTTATTTTGAGTTTTCACAACCGTAACAAAGCAATTGAGAGCACATTTAAAATACTACGTCCAAGAAATTAGAATATTGATCCATATATAAAATTAAAAGGCACACTGTCGGCTTTTGAGAAAATTTAATGATTTTCGGTGTGCCTTATTGTGCGGAAAATACGATAATTTAAAATAACGCCTGAATTTTAAAAAAATTGCATTTTCTTTTTGGTTTTAGTTTTATAAATTAAACACCAGGGTTTTTTGTTCCAATTTTAGTTGGGGTGATTTTTTTAGTTTGCGTTAAATGTAATAACCTTGTTTTGAAATGAGTAGTTGTCGGTCCAATGATGACACACAATCGCTTAAAAAAGTGATATTTCCAACCAAGTGCTGATTTTTAAACCCTCGGGGGAAAGAAGGCCTCATATGACAGTGAAAAAGAGCGATTAAAAGCAGACATGAAGAGAGGGAACCAAAGGGGGGCTGGAGAGTTGCTGTTGTGAAAGATTCTGTTTATTTGTGTGTGCGTGTGTGTGTGTGTGTGTGTTGGTGTGCGCTCGAGATGGGCCAGCACAAACATTTTTTGTAACAACCCCAGTGTAACTCATTCATCACCTTTCGTGTGTATGTGTAAGCAAGGGAAAGGGAGCGAGGGTGGGCGGAGGGGAGGTGGGCTGTAG